TTCTTATTATCAATGTTGAAAACAGTTGTGCTGCTTTATATTTTTGTGGAAACCATGATACATTTTTTTTTTTTCAGAATTCTTTGTTGAATAGTTCGAAAAATAGCAGCATTTATTTTATTTTTGTATTATTTATTTATTCATTTGTTTATTAATTAATTATTTATTTATTTATTTATTTATTCATTTATTATTTATTTATTTATACAGATTTGTTAGTTTTTATAAAATAGTCAGATTTGTTTTATAGTGGAACAAAGGATACTCCAAGGATAATGCATTTAAAAATGTATCATGAGCTCATGGCTTACAGTCATTGATTGTGGTGGATGCTGTTATCCTGCAGCGTATCGGGCCATGCTCACCCAGCCACTGAAGACAGTGAGGGAAATCCTGGTTAACCAGATGGCTCACATGCTGGCCTGCTACAGGAAGAGCTGCGCCAGTCCCTCAGCTGCCAGCCAGGTCAGTGACACACTTCACATTCATGTTCATATTAAGTTTACATCCTTATAAAAACACCTTCTCCCTTTATTGATGCTTACATAGCATGTGCAAACTCATTGACAGTTATAATGCAGCCATGTTATTTTAGTATCATTTATATACTATTATAGGATTTATTCATATTTTGAATTAGCTTTTATTTTCAGAATTTCAGTTTTAATTTTATTTTAGTTTTAGATTTATATTTAGCTTTAATTTTAGTTTTAGTAATTTTAGTACTTGAAAGAAAATTAGAAATGATGCCTTGGCAACGAACTAACTAAAATAAGTTTAAGTTTGTTTTGAATATAATACATATATATATATATATATATATATAATTAACAAAATGTTAGTTAGTTACCAATAACAACACTGCTATGTAGAAACCATTTTTTCTGTATTTTTTATACCTTTATTTTTATACCTTTTTTTTTTCTTCTGCACCCTGTCTATTCATATTATAATAAATAGATTCACATCATTATCTCTGAACTGCACTGTAAGAAAAATGGATAATGTCCTGGCAGAAAATTACCAGAACCTTTTTTCATTAAGTTTATGGACATTTCCTTCAACACTAAAACACAACACAATGCAAATGTGTAATTCAAAATGCGGGTAAAACACCTGTGAAAAATCAGTATGGAAAATGCCTTCATATTAACTGTACATTGTGCCATATTTTTACAGACTTTTACTAAATTGTATAACTCTGATTTGTGTAAACTGACGGCTCTTCATGAACATTTTACCCTACAGCTAATCCTGCCTGATGCCATGAAGGTGTTTCCCGTCTACATGAACCACAAAAACGCGCGAGCGCACACACACACACACACAAACAAACAAACAAACACAAACACACACACACACACACACACACACACACACACACACACAACATCTATCATTTCTCTCATTGACATCTAACTCTGAGCACTAGTGTTCATGCGTTTGCTCTCTCTCTCTTTGAAAGATTGAACAAAGGTCTAGTGATTTATGTGTGTTTTCTGACTTTGGTCAAATCTAGAGTATTGATTGACTTTTAATTTTTATAGAACTATGAACGATCTTTTCACGTTTGAACAAATTTGGTGTAGTCATGGCGCTTTGTGCACATTATCCAAAGATGTTTTGGTGTTTTCCTTTGAATCCCATGATGTTCTGTTTTCTTTAATGTGTTTGCTGTATGCATTGTTTTTAAGTCTTTTGTGCAGAGTTTTTGAGTATTTGTAAATAAAGCTTTTTTCAAAATCAAATCTCTCTTTCTCTCTCTCTCTCTCTCTCTCTCTCTCTCTCTCTCTCTCCGTTTCTCTCTGTCTCTGTCTCTCTCTCTCTCTCTCTCTCTCTCTCTCTCTCTCTCTCCGTCTCTCTCTGTCTCTGTCTCTCTCTCTCTCTCTCTCTCTCTCTCTCTCTCTCTCTCTCTCTCTCTCTCTCTCTCTCTCTCTCCGTCTCTCTCTGTCTCTGTCTCTCTCTGTCTCTCGCTCTGTCTCTCTCTCTCTCTGTCAATTTCAATACATGTATGTGAGAAATCAGTAATTCAATTTTTCTGATTTTCTTATTACTTTTCTAATTTTTCCAAATCTTTGTCCATAACAATTTAGGTGAGAAATTGGACTGAAATATGAATATAGATTTCAGAATTAGTCTTTATACTCAAATGGCATGAACTCTACAAGTTTGTGTAGAATCTGATGATCTAAAGAGCATTTTGAGCTTCACTGACAGCAAGAACATCTGACCGTTAGCAAAAGTGTGGCATAATTACAAATGTGCTTGTTTGATTAGGGACCCAGAAATAGTGCAGCTTCTTATTTATTTTTATTATTTTTTTAAATTCACTTTACATCATAATATTTCCTTATTTAAAATTTAACATTTATTTCCAAATTTTAATTGGATTTTTAATCCCAGATTTTCTTGGAACTAAACTGTTTTAAAAAGTTTTACAGCTAAAAAAATATTATCTTATTATTTTTATGATTATTGTACATTATGCCACATCCATCTAGATAATGGTCAGAATAACTTTTTTTCACTTAGATAACATTGACAAATGTTGTATCAATCAATCAGTCAAATAAATAAATAAAGATTGGTAACAACATCAAGGTGAATAAGGACAGAATTTGTGGGTAAGCAAGTATTTTTAAGCAGTACAGTACCTGGATTGGAATTGGATTATATCTGATCCAGGTTTGGCTTTGAAGGATGGTATTATTCCTCTCTTCTCTATTGATCTCACTGTTCATGTTGCTTTAATCAAGGACCTGTTTATTCAGTTCTTCTCATTATGTGAATAACATCAGAACTGCAGTGATAACTCTAGCGTTATAATTGTCTTTCAGCAGATGTCATTACCTGTGCTGGATAATGCTCATTCCAGGAAGATCCATTCAATCATCTCCAGCATTTCACAGCAGAGGGCCACATCCATGAAGGTACGGCTCACCCTCACCACCTCCTCTCTGTATCTGTCTCTGTCTTTTGTTCATTATGAAGAGGCTTGAATAATTACTAATGGTGTTTGTGTGTCACAGTGCTTGTGAGGTTCTGTCTGTCTGTCTGTCTGTCTATCTATCTATCTATATCTGTCTGTCTATCTATCTTATCTATCGTATGTCTGTCTATCTATCTTATCTCTGTGTGTCTGTCTGTCTGTCTGTCTGTCTCTGTCTATCTATCTATCATCTATATATATTTATCTCTATCTGTCTATCTATCTATGTATCTGTCTGTCTGTCTGTCTGTCTTATCTCTGTCTGTCTGTCTGTCGTATGTCTATCTATCTTATCTCTGTTTGTTTTTCTATCTATCTGTCTTATCTCTGTCTGTCTGTCTATCTATCTATCTATCTTATCTCTGTCTGTCTGTCTGTCTGTCTGTCACATTTATACATAAATTCTTTTATTCTGCAAAGGACACATCAAATTGATTGATAAATCAATAAATTGTAATAATATTGTACAAATTATTTCCATTTCAAACCAATGCTGTTCTTTTAAACTATGTATCAAAAAAAAAAATCCTCAAAAAACGCATCACAGATTCCCCATATTAAGCAGCATCACTGTTTTCAAAATTGATAATTGGAAATGTTTCTTGAGCATCAAATCAGCATATTAGAATGATTTCTGAAGGATCACGTGACACTGAAGACTGGAGTAATGATGCTGAGTATTCAGCTTTGTATCACAGGAATAAATTACATTTTAAAATATTAAAATATATTTTGAATTGTAATAATATTTTACAGTATTGATGTTTTACTGTATTTTGATCAAATAAATGCAGCCTCGGTGAGATCGTATCGATCCCAAACTTTTTTCTTCACTTGTTATCACTTGCCTGAACGCTCCTCTTTCTCTGTCCTGACTGATCTCAGGTCAGCAGTGTGATTGATGTGTGTCTCTCTCTGTGCAGCTGCTGATAGTGAAGCAGAAGGACCAATCAGAGATGTTGTTCCGTCAGCACCTGGTGGAGGACAAGGGTCTTCATGGAGGAGCGTCCTACATGGACTTCCTGTGCTACGTCCACCGTGAGATCAGGCAGCTACTTACTTAACACACACACACACACACACACACACACACACACACACACACACACACACACACACAGTTAAGTGTGTCACAGCGCACAGCCCTCTTCTCATATAACCTCTACAGCTGCCTATGATATATGACCAAACTCTCTTTCTGCAGTGAGAACTTTCTGCTTTGTTCCTCAGTGTTTGACATGAGGGATGCTGGTAAATGGGTGTTTAGATTGAACAAATTAAAATGTGCCACATCTCCCTGTTCTGAGGAGCGATTATATTGAGATCGTCTGAATGATTTTCTTAAATCATTCCCCCAGATTACATTTACCAAAGGGAAACCTTTCTTTAAATCCTTAATGCAGCAAAATAAAAAAAAAATAAAAAAATGGGCTCATAATGTCTGGAGTGCAAAATAGTGTTCTCAGATGAAAAATCTGTGCAGTTTCTATTAAATTAATAGACTGATTTGTGACTGGATATATACAGTACAAAACATGCTCTTTTTCTTTTTTTGACTTCAGGGATGAAAACATCACACAAAACTGAATTCTAGTCATGTACAAAAATTGTCTTGCAATGGAATCGCTGTGTCTGCTATCCCAATTGTTTTTTTTTTAAAGTAACATCTTTTTCTTCATTTTTTTACTCAATGTTATTTTGCACATCGTGTTTATGTTTTGTTTGTATGTTTCCAATACTTCAAAATGTGTAAAGGGATGCCAATGCTTTCCAACATCATGCCAGTGATTTTCGCAAGATGAACACTAGATATTCAGGTAGTTAAAAGTTTAACTATTAGACCTTCAAAGAAAACATCTTTTTTTCTTTTTCTTTTTTAAACCAAAATAATTGAACATTGATTAAAAGTGGAATGTCCCTTTTATTTTGTTGCAGTTAATGTCAGTCATTATTTGTTATTCTTAACTTCATACAGTTTTGCTCTTTGAGACATTTCCAATCTGATATGTTTTATAACATGAGCAATTATTATACTAAATTTGCCTTTATTTTTTTCTGACTTTTAATGGTACATTGCTGGACCAATACTGTATATTTTCTTACAGTTTGAGATGGGTTTTAAGAACTCGTAAGCAACTACACCTCAGGTCACATGCATCTAGCCTTTGTACCTGTTCATTAGTGCTTTGGAACCGACACATATGTGGTTCTTCGTATTGAACACAGAAAGGATTCATTTCTGGAAGCAGAAGGCAGCCTGTCTTGTACATTTCAATATAAAGCCTTTATACAGCTGTTTTTGAATAAAGGTGTAGTCCCTGTTAACCTTGTAAGTGTATTTGTTTTGTGTGTATTTTGTGCGCTCTCATAGGCCACGTACACACTGCAGCTAAATTCAGTTGTCAGTTCACCTTTTAGTGCTTAATCCTGTTCTGTACACACACAGTTCAGTCATTTACAGGAGTGACAACCGCATTCTACAACCCAGTTAACTCCCGAAAAATTCAGGTAGGGACAATCAAATTTACAAAAATTCAACACCGTGTACTGAACTGAACTGAACAACTAGTTGTTAGTGAGGTATTTAAACATGTATCAGTATGGAAGGCCGATGGCATCAAAAGTCTTAAAGTGGAAAACATGAAATTTGACTGTCAACACGCACTGTTCATCCGTGTTAACTAGCCAATTTTGTGTGTAAACAAACAAGCATTTTCTGCCCATGTTAAGGCATCAGGTTTCTTTAGTATGTGTAAAGATGCACAGTTTTACTGCATTAAGACAAATTTGAACATGCCTCTCAACGTGCATATTCTGGCCATGTTCAATCATGTAATACTTTTTTAAAGCAGAATTACTTCTAGATTTACTTACATGTTAGTCCTTTCTTTAGTTCACTGCGGCATTGCTTTACTGATGTCTACTGTGCTAGAGTAAATTAATTTAATAAATTTTCCAATGTAAATTAAGACCTTTCTACCTGAGAAAGAACGTGGAACTAAACAACTACAAAGGACATTACAAAACATGACATAAGACTGACATCGCACACAATGTACAGATGCATTATCCCTCATGACATGGTCAAATTTCATGGGTTCCGTTTGAAAGACTTTTGGCATCATCAGTTTTCCATATATCAGATTTGTGTCTCTTCAGTATGTGCGGTGGCAGAAATCACAGTGAACAAGGTAAGTCTCGTGTTGCCAGATCTTGCTATAAATAAAAACCCAACAACAAGCCCATAATAAATTTAAATGCAAACACTTTATCTTGGAAATATTGTGAGCTAAGCCCAAAGACACATCATTTATAATAATTGGACATAGCAACACTTCAAGAGTGCACTCTGCGAAAGCAGCCTTCTAAACATAAACAAAACATGATAGTTTAGTTAAAATCGCTGAACATGAGTCTTTGGTCACTGTAATATTTATTACCTTGGTCAAAAATAGTGGATACCAAATGCTAAAGACACCAAAATGTTGCTAAGGTTACCACACTGTCAATTAGCGCAATTTGTAATAATAATAATAATAATAAAAAAACTTTAAAAGTAGACTTTAACAACCACCCCTCCACCAAAAAAAAAGTTTTGAATGTTGTGATTTGTGAAAATTACGTGATCTAGGATTTTTATACAGGTTGTGCGATTGTAAAGATGCCAACAGGGGTGGCCAACATCGGTCCTGGAGAGCCACAGTCCTGCAGTTTCGCTCCAACCCTAATCAAACAGACCTGACAAGCTAATCAAGGTCGAAAGCTACAGGCAGGTGAGTTTTTATCGAGGTTGGCGCAAAACTCAGGACTGTGGCTCTCCAGGACCGACGTTGGCCTCCACTGTGCTAGACGGTCATGCTAGAATTTGCGCACAGAATATTTCTACGGACACAGAAACGGTAGTAATATATGGAAGCCCGTTTCTGCCACTGAATAAAAAAATGAAAAAGGTAAGTTAAAAAGTGCGAGTTAAAAAGTCATTATTGTGAGATATAAACTCGCAATTCTGAGAAATAAAGTCAGAATTGCATGATATAAACTGCGAGTTTATATCTCATAATTCTGTTAAAAAAAGTCCGATTTGTGAGATGAAAAAGTCGCAATAACCTTTTTTTATTTTTTATTCAGTGGCGGAAACGGGCTTCCGTAGTAATATGACGACGTGCTCGTTTTAAAAAAAAAAACTATTCTATATGTAATAATTCATAAATACATCCAAACTGTAAAAATTGTATTTACTTCACGCGTCCACGTGATACGAATTGGCAGGTCAGATTCGCCTCATTTTCATCCGTGTTAAATTCATTATGGCGTCTAATCTGAGTGAAGGTCTTTTGACTGCTATATTTAAATGTGACTGCCACTTCTGAAACTCCCCAGTGTGTAGGCCCACTATATGTGGCCAAAGTGACTTTCATTACCAGTGATCTGACATTCAATGAAGGAGCCATGAAACATACATTCTGAGCGGTTTATTGACTCTATGTTACAAAATGCACTCATCTAGTTCCACAGAGAAGCATGGGATATGCACACAGAGCGCTAGATCAGCTCCAGTCAGCTCTTCCCAATCCCATCACTAAAGGCCGTTCGCTCAAGCCTTCTTCACTCTCTACACATGCAGCTGTCAGGCTCTCACGCTGCTCGCAAGAAATGTTGCATCATCAGAACGTCAATGGGAAACCTCAAATACAGCATGACATAGCATTGTTTTCAGAAATGGACTAAAAAAGGATCACATCCTATACTGTAACTCAATTACAATGAAAACAGACAGAAAGTACAGGTTGTTTGGGACGAGTGCTAACAAAGAAAGGCACTGATTTCTAGAGTAGGGAAAAGCTCATGCACTCTTCTCCTGGATAAGCTCATGTGAATCAGGCATGCAGGTTGCAAAACTAATAAAAGTAAATTGAAAGACAATCAAGTGTTCCGTACTAAGTACAGTATTATCTAGAACCCATAACGACAAATATTATTTGCATAATCTGAATAAATAAACAAAAAGAAAGATCTTAAAAAAAAAGGGAAGATGCAACAAAATGCTTGTTTATACTTTATGAAATATCTACACACATTTGAAATACAAATTGATGTATTCATTCTATTCAATCTGATGTCTGGACCGGTCTGTATATTTATACACAGTTATAAAACTCGAATTACTTCATATCTCTCTCTTGTTCTCTAGACTACAGGTTAATACTTTGAAAGCTCACTTGTCAAGCTTTAAAGGGGTCATATGATGGCCATTTTCCACAAGTTGATATGATTCTTTAGGGTCTTAATGAAAAGTCTGTAACATAGTTTGGTTAAAATTTCTCAATGGTAGTGTAAAAAACACTTTTTACCCTGTCAAAAACAGCTCTTTTCAGATCAAGCTGTTTTTGTAGCATTTTCCTTTAAATGTTAATGAGCTTTGCTGACCTCTCTTCCGAGCTGCTCTCAGAGAGACTGTTTACTTTAGCCGCATTCATCGTGAAACTTGCTAATTAGCACATTATTAGGATAAGGTGATTTGCAAATATTCATTACAAAACATACTCACTTCTTCTGTAGATGAGACTGGATCATGAATGATTCGCGCGAACATAGACGCATTTATGTAGATCGGGGGCGCATTCCCTTCAGAAACAAAGTAATCCACTGCCAGTTCAGGGGCTCAGATGTTGGGAGTAAATGGCACACATTTCAGTTCAAACAACTTGTAAAAGTGCATGTAGCATCATCCTATGACCCCTTTAAGAATTATTGTTGAAGGTGTAGAAACTGCTGCTCATGACTTTAACTGAAATGCATGAAGGAAACATTTTCACACAGGGATTCATATAAGATTTGTGCCAGCTATGATTATGATTGTAATGGAAGCTACTTGCAACTGAGCCCATGTGATTCTAAAGGCAGAGTACTGGAAAAATACTGGACATCTAAATATTGACCGTTCAGTTTAGTGGTGTGTTATTGTGTGAAATTATTTCTCCAATTTTACTCCATAAATCATGTTGTCAGCCACGTTGAGCTGTAACTTAAGTCCACTAGGTGGCAACGTTGCAGAGAACATTGTACTCTTGGTGAACTAACTTATAAAAAAAAAAATAATCTGTTGATTGTCTTCTTTTGAACACAAAAGAAGATAATTTGAAGAATGTTGGTAACCAAACAATTGACTTTGACTTCCATAGTATGAAAAAAAACAATGGAAGTCAATGGCTACCGTGAACAGTTTGGTTACCAACTTACCAAAGTATCTTCTTTTGTGTTCAACAGTAGAAAGAAGCTCATACAGGTTTGGAACAAGTGGCGAGTGAATAAATAAGGACAATTGTCATTTTTGGATGAACTATCCCTTTAAGCAATGCCTTGGAAGACATTTCTTTGACATTAACAGAGCTCCTTTGCAGACACACAAATACTGATGGTCAAAACCTCCAAATGAAAACAATTACTGTACGGCTGCAGACAGCCTGATGTGCTTAGATAGTTAGATCAATGAATAAAACCACATGTCAAGATGCTTTGAGAACAGTGATATAGTGCTGGAAACATGTAAACATAATGTGACATTTTTTCAAAAGGACTTTACAATTAAGATACATATAAGCAGCATTACTTTGTAACAGTGTTTCTTAAGACAAATACAACATGTGTGCTTTGATTTGCTACCTGTAGCTTCCAAATCTATTATACAGCATCTTGATCAGGTTGGCAAATGATTCTGAACCAAAAAAAAATCTTAATCTTTATTTGACTTTCCACCTGTTTTGGCTGGACCCACTGTTGTAGTTAAGAACATTCTGGAATGATTCTGTAGAAATTTAAAGGCTGCAGAGTCACAGGTTTGTACTTTATGTGAAGAATGTTTACTGTTATACTGTATACGTGACACATTATTAACAAAAATAAATGATGAAAATGTACTCATTCTCAAGCCATCCAAAATGTAGATGAGTTTGTTTCTTCATCAGATCAGTTTTGGAGAAATGTAGCATTGCATCACTTGCTCACCAGTGAGCAGATCCTCTGCAGTGAATGGGTGCCATCAGAATGAGAGTCCAAACAGCTGATAAAAACATCACAATAATCCACACCACTCCAGTCCATCAGTTAACATCTTGTGAAGAGAAAAGCTGCAAATCCATCAAGACATTTTTAACTTCAAACTGCTTCTGGTTAAAATACGAGTCCTCTATCCATAATATTGCTTTCTCCAGTGAAAAAGTCGTCTCATTTGAATCAGGAAAGAAATATACACAGATCAAGCACTGTTTACAAACAAAAATAGTCCAGAACAGCTCTAAACTAGCGTTATCATGGATTATGGACTCGTATTTTTGAGCAGAGGCACTGGTTTAAAGTTAAAAAGGTCTTATTACTGGATTTGTTTCTTACAAACACGCAGCTTTTCACTACATGAGACATTAATTGATGGTATGTGGATTACTGTGATGTTTTTATCAGCTGTTTGGACTCTCATTCTGACGGCACCCATTCACTGCAATGTAGTGTTAATTTTGTTAACGAAAACTATGACGAAAAATGTCCGTTGATGAGCTTTTTCCCATGACTAAGACGAGACGCTTTTTCCAAAAGGTACATCTGGAAAAAGGGGGGTCGTCTTATAATCAGGGTCGTCTTATATTCGGGCCAATATGGTAATATCGTTGACGATAAAAGACAAGACTAAAATGTATTTTAAAACATAAAAACTATACCAAAATTTCTTTTATTTTTTGTCGAAAAAAAGGAGGTCAAATATTATTGCAGGCTGTTGTACATGCCTCTACCAAACGAGCTTCCATGTGTGCGGTTGCCAGATATCAAGAGTTCAAATCCGTAAATCAGAGCTTCTCTGTTAAAAGGATACATTTTCTGCCTGGTGTTTAGCTTAATTTTTGCAAGCTGGCAACCATGCGCTCGCTCTTTATTACGGAAGCGCCGACGATGATCTGAAATCACAGACAAACAAGTAAGCTGAAGTTTAGCGATCTCCATGTGAGATGTTCAGCTTCAATAAAAGTGTCATTCAGCCAGTCTGTGTTCTATCATGAGATCTCGACTCTTCTGTTTGGGATTGTGGTTGCTGAATAAATGCACTTACTGGCTGCTGTTGTTTTAATAGAGAAACATTGATGCAATTTGGAATGATTGGAATTACTATCAGGAATTTTACGGTTCATATATTTTTTGTTTGTTTTTGCCAGTTTTCATAATGTAGAGAGAGTGCTTATCTAAGGCTTTGATATTATTTATGTATTAAATAGCCTATAATAATTAGTACACTAGATGAGGTCCACATTCTATTGATTTGTGCTTAATGGTGAAAGTGCAATACCTGAAAGGTAAAAATGTATTTCTTAAATGACAACAATCTTTTCAATTATAATTTTGAGCAATTGTTTTTTTTTTGTTTTTTTTTAGCAGTTTAACTATTATACAGCAGCGTGACAAAAATGTGACTTAAGTTTTCATTGATTAAAACTACTAAAATGCTCAGACATTTAGTCAACTAATACTTGACTAAACAAAAACAGGACAAGGCTGACTAAATAGGATAAAAACTAAAAAGTACATTTGACACCAGGACTAAGACTAATTTAAAAGACTAAGACTAAATTAAAAATTGCTGACAAAATGAACACTACTGCAGAGGATCAATTGGTGAGCAAGTGATGTAATGCTAAATTTCTCCAAATCTGTTCCCATTAAAAAACAAACTCTTGGATGATACATAAATATCATATCATAAATTTATAATAAATAAATACATACATTTTCAACAAATTTTCACTTTTGGGTGAGCTATTCCTTTAACTAATGAGTTAAGTAAACGGTATCTCAAATATTCCTTGTAAATTGTTGCAATTTAAGAATGGATTTGTGAAAAATGTATACAGAAATTCATTCTGTTTGTATTTCATATATGGGCCAATGTATGAAATGTTACTTTGGAGAAAAAAAGATGATTGACAGACAATTTGTCTACTTTAAATAAATGTATACGGTTTTTTACAAGTACATGACAAAAAATGTAAAAATAATTTTTCTTTGATATTAAAAATGCTGTTCATTTTGGTTTATGGGTAAAGCACTGCTAGTAATCAGACGTGTACTGTATCATTGAGGACGTCGGGCTTGTGGAGTATAAAGGTGGTTATGTGAGCTGGCCCGCCAACAGAGTCCATTCAGATGTTAAATGACGTTCTCAAAAAGCTGCATTGATTTCATGATGTTCTCATCCTGTAGGGAACAAACAGACACAGGTGAACACTTTAATAACAGCTCACCTGTGGAGACTAATGGACTGGCTTCAGGACAACATTGAACATTATGTAAGGAGCTTTTCTCTCTAAGCGCTCTACTCAAGAAAAACGTATCGTACATGTTTTCACGAAAGACATTCATTGCAGAACATCACATTCAGAACAAAAATAGACTTACATTTTGACAGCAGTCTATAAATTCATCTATAGTGACCACTCCATCCCTGTTTTTGTCCATTTTCTGTCAAGACACAAAAAGGGTCAAACGGTCAGTGTGTTCATTTAAGGTTGCTCTATTCATTTAGATTTAGCCATTTTCCTTGCTTAGAATTGCATTTAGACAATCTCTACGATTGCATCAGCAGAAACTTGATCTGTACGATCATTGCTTTACCAGTGAACCAAAGTGCTGCGTCTGGCAATCATTTCTTTTTTCCCCATATTTAATCACCATTTTTATGGAAGCCCATTTCCATCAGGGGGAAAAAATATGCTTTGGTAAATGATAATTACAACATTAAAAGTCATAAACATGAGATAAAAGGTCTTTATGAGAATTATAAGATGCTAAGTCAATTATGGAATAAAAAGTCAAAATGATGACAAAAAGTCAACAATTTTATGTCATAATAACTTAGTGTCTCATAATTAAGACTTTTATCTCATAATTATGCCTTAACATCCCGTTTATAAATCCTTAGACTAAAATTTACGATAATTTTTACTTTTTAAACACTTTCTCGTATTTGTGACTTAGTAGGTAGGACATGGTTTGTCCATTATTTGTCAAGACACAAAAAAGGTCATTGTGTTCATTTAAGGTCGTTCTATTCATTTAGCTTTAGACATTTTTCTAGCCTCAAATAACATCTACACAATTTCTATGATAACATCAGCAGAAACTAGATCTGTAGGATCATGGTGATAAATAATATGACATAGATGGGAACATTCTGGGAATGGATTTGCTCTACCAAAGAACCACCAAGTTTTTCACCATTTTTATTCACTTTTTTTATGGAGACCCATTTCCGCCACATAATAGGAAAAATAATCATGCTTTGGTAAATGCTAATTATGACATTAAAAGTCATAAATAATGACTAAAAAAGTCAAAATGATAAGATAAGACATAGTGAGATTAAGAAAAAGTCAAAATGATGACAAAAAGTCAACATTTTTGTCATAATTAGTATCTCATAATTTTGACTTTTATCTCATAATTAGGCCTTAGCATCTCATTTACAACTCCTTTGACTAAAATGTACAACAATTTTAATCTCTTTTAATCTCATATTTATAACTTAGTAAGATTTTGTCAAGACACAAAAAGGGTCAAACGATCATTGTGTTCATTTAAGAATGCACTATTTATTTAGCTTCAGAACTTTTTCTTGCTTAGAATCACATCGAGACGATCTCTATAATGACATCAGTAGAAACTAGATTTGTAGGTTCCTGGTAATAAATAACATGACACAGATGGGAACATTCTGGAAATGTACTTGCTTTACCAATTTCCTATCTAGTAAATATTTTCTATTTGAAGAACAATCCTTACAGAATAAATTAGATGCTAAAATTCAGCGATTCAATCTCACCTGGAAAAATATCTCCACATGCTGTCGTGGAGTTTCCTCTTTAAGCATGGGATATGTGCATTTCCCCATCATGTCATAGATGGACTTTATGATATCTAACATTTCCTGTGAAACCCACACAACAGACAGGAATGTTGTTCATTAGTGTTTTATATAATCGCTTGTCATGTAAGTGATTTTCCGGTAAGACTTTACAGTAAGGTTTAATTTGTTAACATTCATTAATGCATTTGGTACATGACAATGAACTGACAATTAACATTTTTTTTCAGTATTTATTAATATAGTGTTAATTTATTACTATTGTCTATTGTTAACTTGAAAAGTTAAAATTAGTTTATGTATAAAGTGAAAACAAAGTTGTAATTAAGACATAAATAGACACTTTTATGCTTTAATTTTATAACTTGACTTGACTTATTTACTTTTGTGTCAGAATTATGACTTTATATCTCAATTTCTACTTTGTATCTCATAATTGTTACTTGGTATCTCATAATTTTGTACTTTTTGTCATTGCAGCCATAATTAAGTCATAATAATTAGATAAAAAGTTGAAATTATGACAAAATCAAAGTTTTGTCAATTATGACTTCTCGTAATTTTGACTCTTGTGTCATAATTTCAACTTTTTATCTCATAGTCATTACTTAGTATCTCAATTTAAATCTTTTGTCAATTTTGACTTCTCATATTTTGACTGAATTTATTGCTATACTATTGTCCATTATTAACTTGAAAACTTAAAACTGTACTAGCTAATGTGGAAATTAAGTTTAAGTTAAGTTAAGTTAAGTTAAGTTAAGTTAAGTTAAGTTAAGTTTAAGTTTATGCATTTAGCAGACGCTTTTATCCAAAGCGACTTACAGTGCATTCAGGCTATACATTTTTTATCAGTATGTGTATAAATTAACACTAAACTAGAATAATAAAAGTTCATTGTTAGTTCATGACACCAATCCAATGAATTCATGAGATACAGTGTTCATTGTTATGAAGTGTTACTCATATTCTTAATGTATTACCTCTTTTGTTATATATCCATCTTTATTAATATCATACAGGTTAAACGCCCAGTTAAGCTTCTCCTGAACGGTGCCTCGTAAGAGAATGGAGAGACCCATCACAAAATCCTGTAATGCAATGAAAGACATTGAGAAATCAGTCAGTGCAATGAGCATATTGTTGCATAACAACATAAATGTGCAATTTACAGCTAGAACATAATTCACGATTATTCTGCTAAACAAACCGCTTAATTTCACAAGATGATATGATACTTCATCGTATTTTAATGGTTGTATTATGGATCTCACTAATTCAGTATACATGCAAAGATCATATGTGAATGGAAATAAATGTTTTTAATAACCACATAAGCATTTCCCCCCAAATGATGAGAGGAATTCTTTCAGGCTGAACTTTTCACATGAGCACTCAAGGTTTTTAATTACCAGTTATGACAAAATAAGCCTTAGTGGCAGCTAAATGGCTACAGGACAAGCCAAACTTTGTTATTAAAAACAAGACGAGGATATTCTCATTTAGTTTAATTACTGTATCGCTGGGGACCAGCAATGTTTGTTTATTGCCAAAGAATGAAATCCTTGTTGTGTGCAAATTGAAGGTTCATTGGTGGTTAAAATGTCTCTTTAAGACACAAATTGCACAATATGTTGTCAGTCAAGACATTTATTCAACAGAGTTCAACTCAATACATACATACAAATAAAAGTTTAAATACATAAATATTCCCATAATATCTCCAGATGTTTTTATGTGTTTATAGTTAATGCACAACATGCCACTGAAGTTTTGTTTTTTCAAGATTTTCTAGTAAAATAAATGTGAAAAAGTATTTTATATGTTCTGTTTGGTAAATTCGTATTTATTTATTTACACCATTTTTATGGAAGCCCATTTCTGCCAGAAAAGAAAAAAATAATGCATTGGTAAGTCATAATATGGCATTAAAAAGTCAAAATCATGACATAAAAATGTTTTCGTTTTGTCACGTTTTGAATTCGTATCTCATAATTTGGCTGTATCTCATAATTTGACAGTAACCCAGAAGTTTCACTTTTGCGTCACAATTATGACTTTCTATCTCATAATTATGACTTATTATGAAAGAATGAGTTAAAGTCAAAATTATGCAATGAAAAGTCAATTTTTATGTCATAATTATTTTTTTTATCTCAAAACTTTTTAATTTGACTGAGTATCTCATATTTATGACTTAGTCTGTCATAACTTACACTTTTCCAGTTTATTTTAAATGGTCCAACATTTATCTATGATATAACTAATTTTAAATTTTATTTCAATTTATTTGATATTTAATTTTAGTCTTTCAGTTGAGATGAGGTTAAAACTGCATGCATTATATCTATGAAGAATTAGCACATCCACAAGCATCCACGCCATGTATGTGTAAGAAAGATCATCTTCAGAATGCTCCATTAGTATTATTACTTACCTCAAAACTAACAGAGCCATTGTGATCTGTGTCGAACGCATCGAACAGAAAATGTGCATAAGTTGATGCATCTGAAAAATAAAACAGGAAACTGCTCAGCTTCAATCACAGCAATGTCATTAAATCATTTCATAGCCTATTATATTCAACAACAAAGGGGATGCATAAGCTTGCACAAGCTATGATCCATTATACTATAAATAATGCAAGCAGTGTGCATATGTGAATGGGCTGGAAATGAGTAGGGCCACGTGAGAGAAATTTGTCACAAACCCTGACAAATGATGTAGAGAAGCTCAGACTCATAATTATAAAACTACTCCTTTGACTTTGCAGTGGCACAAATCATGTGACTCAAAAGAGAAAAGAATCACTACAACAGCCATTTCCACTGGGAGACCTCCATTCAGATCAGTGGTGTGTGTGTGTTGGTCTCCTGAAATGATGTGGAAAACTCCACTTTTTAGTTCTATAAATTCATATTCCATTTCTATTTGATGTTATACAGTTTCTGGGTTAAAGACACACACACAAAAAAGTATTTGGTAAGTCATAATTATGACATAAATATGAGATATTAAGTCATTAAGTCATATTATGACATATTAAATCAAAATTATGAGATAAAAAGTTGATATTATGAGAAAGTCAAAATGATGAAAGAAAAAGTTTCTGTCATAATTATGATGTATCTCATAATTTTGACTTTCATGTCACCATTATGACATTTTACAGTTTTTAATATGAAAGTCAAAATTTTGAGATACTAAGTCATAATTATGAAAAGTCTAAATTATGACATACTAAGTGGGAATTATAACTAAAAGTAAAATTCCTTCATAATTACATCTTGGTATCTCATAATTTTGACTTTTGTGCCATCATTATAGCTTTTTATTTTTTTCACTGTTTTAATAATCTTTCTATGGAAGCCCATTTCCACTGCAAAATAAAAAATGTTTTAGTAAATCATAATTAAGAAAATCAAAATTATGAGATACTAAGACATAATTATGAGATAATACTCATAATACAAATATGAGAAATTAAATTATTTTATTATATTGAAATTATAAGATGAAAAATAGAATTGTTGCCATAATTATGACTAAGTATCTGTTAATTTGGACTTTTTTGTTGTCATAATTATTATAATTTTTTAAAAATCTCAATATTTTTATTTCACAATTTCAACTTTTGATATCATAATTATGCACTTAATTATGACTTTTTTCTTATGTGGCAGAAAATCGCTTTTAGTACAATTTGCTGGATATTTCACTTTAAAAGTGAGGCAAAACATACAAAAAGCAACATAATATTTTGCAGAAACAAAATTTGTTGCAGAAACAATAACTGTAATAATACAGTAAAAGTATGTTTTGCCAGGTAACCTAAAATGGTAATTTAAGTTAACTGGCTTTTCAAATGCAAAATAATATTTAATAAGACTGAATCAAACTACAACAGGTTACACCAATAAAAACTATTATAAAGGGTTAGATCTTAGATTATAAAGGAAATAGTAGAAGAGAATATCTGACTTTAAATATACTCACCTCCCTGTGGAAAGAACTGAGAGTAAATTTCCTTAAATGTGTCTTCATTGACCACACCACTGGGGCATTCCTAAAAACACAGATACAGACATTTCCATCACTGAGATGTTATTGAGGAGTGATTTCACCAAGAGAACCATTATGTGCATGAACATCCAAATAGGAAATGGCACCATTGTTGAGCAATAAACACATTATCCATTGTCAATTCTCATTCTAATGTGCATCATAAATGAAAATGTGAAATAGCAGGCAAACACATTGTGCTAGAAGTCCATTTGCTGCATTGAACATAATCTCATATGATTCTCCATTTCAAATAAACGAGCTCAGAGTGCTTGTCAGACAGTGTTGTAAGATCACCATTCTTTACTGTACTATCACTGATCACTAGGTAATGGTAGCCCTCATATATGATTTGCCTAGCACTGAAGCCTGCATGTTGTATCTCTAATAAATTGTGAGAAATGTGCATGCTTAATGCTTGAATTTGCTTTCGATTTTATTGGATGACTTGCACTAAAAACGGTGCTCTGAATATCAGATCGACCTCCTCAAGATGACCAATAGTTTAAGCTGTCATGCTTGTCTGATGAAACGCTCTCAGATGTTTTGGTTTAGTAAACACATTTATGAACGGCTCTTCAGAAATGATGCTTTCAAGCCTGAAAGTGAATTATGGGAGGATGACTGCTGTCTCACAACATCGGCAATGCAATATCTTTAATATTCTTGTGAAGGGAGTTGCAATGGTTGTTATCCAAGATGTCTGCTGAAGCTAAAGAAACCAGTGTATTTTATTAATTCTGAAATAGCAGCAGATATAACAGATTAGTGCTGTTATTCAAATAACCCAAAACCAGTGATAGTCTGATAGTTAAAGCAACTACAGATTGAACTTTATAAGACCCGTATTTAGCAAACCTTCATTAGGCAGTTCCAGCATTACTCATGTGCTCCCCTCAATATGATAAACCAGCTAAAATAAAGTCAAATCACATTTATAACAATATATCTCCCTTGACGACAGACATAAATGCAATAAAAGGAACTAATGTCTTTGTCTCGGGGAAGATGCCACCACTTTCTGATTTGAAGTGTTAGATGTATTGTCTTAATTCACATGTTTGTAGCAAAAGAACTGAGAACTGTAATGTTCTTTAACTAGTTTTATGCGAAGCACAATACTGGATTCTGACGGCTGGTTAACATTGGGCTTTATAAGGAGAAACAGACCAGTAGAGTAGCAGCAAAGTAACTTTAATATTCAATTTGAGAGCATGTATTCATCCTGCTGGTTGCAATTTAATATGAGTAATAGAGGTGTCATTTTTGTTGACATAATAACTGTGCATTTATATGATGAAGGTAAAACATCCCACACCCTTAGCACATAATAAAGTCAATTCTGATGTTTATGCCTTATTCTTAGCATCATTAACTGTTTTTAAACCTGTAACTTGTGTATGATATCTTATTTAAATACATGTTTTCACTTCCATAGATGGCATAATGAAAGCAATCTGTCCATACTGCACTCCTGCAATGATAAACACATGATTCTGCATGTCATATGAAGGATCTTAACAAATCAAGTCAAGTCAAGTCAAGTCTGCTTTATTGTCAATTCTTCCACATGTACAGCACATACACACAGAGAATTGAAATTGCGTTACTCTCAGACCCTTGGTGCATACAGGAATGTTGTCAGGACCCGGAGCTTTGCGTGCGTTGATCCTGCTGAGGGATCTCCTCACGCTGTCCGGGGATAGCGTCATCACCTGGTCGCCGGGAGGAGGTGGAGTCTTCTGTGCAGTGGTGCTGTTTTGTGCCTCAAAGTGAGCGAAGAAGACGTTCAGCTCGTTCAGCAGGGAGATGGTGCTGTCACAGGTGCGTGGTGGGGGCTTGTAGTCCGTAATGGTCTGTATCCCCTGCCACAGGCTCCGACTGTCTCTGCTGTCGCTGAAATGATGGGCTATCCTCCTGGAGTACTGTCTTTTTGAACAATCCACAATTATAATATGAACAATGAACAATCCACAATTATAATAGCTGTAACAGTGTCATTTGGACCCCAGGAATTGGATTAGATTACATAGTAGAAAGGGCAATTTTTTCAAGATGATTGCTGTTGCTTTATCATAAATGGTGTGGCAATTGCAGCAATTAAGAAATGTGCTTTTACAGTGTAACTATTTCAAGCAAGGTAAGTGGGGAAAATTGCTTAGATGTCTTTAGTTTACATACCCAAGAGAGATTTCAGTTATTTTCTGTGACCAGAAGTGACTAAATCATCTACTTTTGTTGCTTTGCAGCCTGAAATGAAGACGGACACATTTTTTTTGTTTTATCCAGCTGTATTTACATAAAAAAAAGTTTGGGAAAAAGGATCACCCCCTTCCTAAAAATGACTTGTAAACTCAATCAGGTGTAGCTAATCATCTTCTCAATGGCACACAAAGCCATTTGACTTTCAACTGTGCTCATTTTGATTAGCTCAGCATGAAAAGAGCTTTCCTGCACTGTAAAAAATGACAGTGAATTTAACGGTAAAAGACTGTAAAAATGCTACAGTAAAAACCTGTTAAATGGTTAACGGTAAATTTCCCTACTATATACGGTGAAAAACTGTATTGGACATGTAATTTTACGGTAGTATACCATTTTTGGAAGTAAAAAAGACCATATAATTTATAGTGAATAACCATAAATTGACATTCCCAGAATTCCCTGTGTTACATTTCAAATTTGATGTTTTTGATGTGAAATTACGGTATTTAACTGTAAATTTAAGTCAAACCCGTAAAACCTAAAATGTTGCTACCACAGCTGCCGTTTTTTTACCGGAAATTTTACGGAATTTTTTTTACAGTGTGGAGCATTTTAGTCCTTGGTAGTGCAACTGAATCAAACAATCAACGGTGGGTGGCAAGGCACTGTCAAAAGATCTCCGGGATAAAGTTGTGCAGGCACAAGTCAGGAGATGGATACAAAAACATTTCCAAGGCTTTATCAATGCCTAGAAACACAGGGAAGTCTATTATTAAGAAGTGAAAGGTATTTGATACAACACAGACCCTCCCTGGATCAGGAAACTGGTCAGAGAGGCGACCAAGAGGCCTACAGCAACTCTGAAGCAGCTGCAGATATTTATGACAAAGAGTGGTCATTGTGTGCATGTGACAACAATATCACAAATTCTCCACAAATGTGGCTTGTATGGAAGGGTTGCAAGAAAAAAGCCACTCCTAAAGAAAGGCCACATGCAGTCACGACTGAGCTTTGCCAAAACACACCCTGAAGATTCTGAGGCAGATGAGACTAAAATTGAATTATTTGGCCTCAACAACAAACGATATGTCTGGAGGAAATCCAACACATCTCACCATCCAAATAACAGCATTCCTACAGTAAAGCATGGAGGTGGTAATGTCCTGTTATGGGGTGTTTCTCTGCAGCAGGGACTGGAGCACTTGTCAGGATAGAAGGAAAAATGGATGGGGCAAAATACTGTCAAATTCTTGAGGAAAATCTGCTGCCCTCTGCCAGAAAGTTGTCCATGGGAAGAAGGTTTACCTTCCAACATGACAATGACCCAAAGCACACAGCAAAACTGACCACACAGTGGTTGAAGGAGAAAAAGGTGAATGTTCTTGCATGGCCTAGTCAGAGCTAGGGGTGGAACGGTTCGTGGAAAAAAATAGAACCGTACGGTTCTCCACACACGGTTCGGCACACGCTAGGACCGCAGTTCAAGTTAAATCTGACAATGCATCTGTAATATGGTTTGCTATAAATAACACGTAAAACAAACAGGGTTCGGCTAATATATGTTTCTGTTGATGGATGCACATTCTGGCTTCCCAATACATTACAACAACAGCGATGGAAAAAAAAAAAAAAAAAAACGTGGACAAAACCATTCACTGTTGTTCAATGCGAATGCCGTATGCTGGAATATGAGCAGTCTTTTTTTATTTATTCCGTCATGATCACCCGGGTGCTGATAGCGTGCGTGCACAGGTGAGACCTGAACAGCACACGTTGATATCTGTGTTTAAGCTAAACTCGTTTAAGCTTTGCCAGTTTAAACATGTAAGACCCAGAGGACACGATATTTGGAACAACATAGACCCTCCCTGGATCAGGATGTCACTCCAAACTGGATGAAAGAGCCAGAAGGAAACTGGTCAGAGAGGCGACCAAGAGGCCTACAGCAACGCTGAAGCAGTTGCAGGAATTTATGACAAAGAGTGGTCATTGAGTGCATGTGACAACAATATCACAAACTCTTCACAAATGTGGCTTGTATGGGAGGGTTGCAAGAAAAAAGGGACTCCTCAAGAAAGGCCACATGGAGTCATGACTGAGCTTTGCCAAAATGCACCTTGAAGATTCTGAGGCAGATGAGACTAAAATCGAATTATCTGGCCTCAACACCAAACAATATATCTGGCGGAATACAGCTCACCATCCAAATAACAGCATTCCTACAGTAAAGCAGGAGGTGGTAATATCCTGTTATGGGGGTGTTTCTCTGCAGCAGGGACTGTAGCACTTGTCAGGATAGAAGGGAAAATGGATGGGGCAAAATACCATCACATTTTTTAGGAAAATCTGCTGTCCTCTGCCAGAAAGTCATCAATGAGAAGAAGGTTTACTTTCAAACATGACAATGACCCAAAGCACACAGCAAAACTGACCACACAGTGGTTGAAGGAGAAAAAGGTGAATGTTCTTGCATGGCCTAGTCAGAGCTAGGGGTGGAACGGTTCGTGGAAAAAAATAGAACCGTACGGTTCTCCACACACGGTTCGGCACACGCTAGGACCGCAGTTCAAGAAAAAATCGCGGACAAACCATTCACTCTTGTTCAATGTGACTGCCGTATGCTGGAATATTACAGAATATGAGCATTTATTCCGTCATCACCTGGGTGTTGATAGTGCGCACGCACAGGTGAGACCTGAACAGCACACGATGATATCTGTGTTTAAACTAAACTCATTTAAGCTTTGCCAGTTTAAACATGCAAGAGCCAGAGGACGTGAGCTCGCACGCACAGTGAGA